GGAAAATTATCAATAGAATATTTGATGCCAGAAGACATTAAAGCAATGACACATATTTTCACACATGAAATAACTTAGATAATTCAACACCAATAGCCTTTTATTAAAAATATTGACAATAAAATCCAGTCAACCCTCTTATCAAAATTTGTAAAGCATTAAATTGGTATTAGTTTAGAAATCAGGGTGCTAGTTTCCCTGGAATAGGGATGGAACCAAATGGGTGGGGAGCTGTTTGGAGTGCTAGTAATGTTCTGTGTAGATATGTGGATGTCTTCATTTATAAAATGTTAGCGAGCTTAACGTCTACTATATGTGTACTTTTCTGCATATATATTATATCTTAGTACAAAACTTGCTAAGAATCCCTATTAATATGGAACTAATGCTAAACAACTGTGGGAATTATAGACCATAATAATTTTATGATCGTAAATGTTAATAATCCCTGAAAAAATAAAAATAATAAAAGTAGTAACATGAGTAGCAGAAGTCAAAATTAGGAAAAAGGGTGGGTGGGAAGACATAGGTGAATGATCACAATCTTTCTTATTTTTTATAGTAGGTTGTCAACTCATATAATGAATGAGGATAAAATGTGTAATTTAAACCACATAATCCTCAAACCTCTAGTAGTTTTCAAACTGTTTACTTATAAATAAATTGATCTTTAATATTATCCTTTGTGAAAGATATTTATTCAACCATTCTATTTACTTTGATTTCCTTTAACTTTTCAAATTAAGTAAAATAAATTTAATATGTTTTACTCAAATTGCACTTTTTTTAAATTATTCGTAACTATTTTTATATATGTTTAATAATATTTGTATCCACACATAGTTTAATGTCTAGGTCAATCTGCATGTATTAAAAGCCAATACCTTCTAAGAGTTTTAGATGTTGGGTTTACTTTTTTCTAAAAATGTTTTATTTCTATAAAAATAGTAATGTCATTAGTCTTAAAACTAAATAAGTGATTTCAACACAATTTAACAACTTTTTTTTCTTAGGGAGTTTTTCTAACTCTTCACTAAATGTAATAAATTGTTTCATTTGGCCCCAACACTTCACTTCTCCCAGTATCCACACTCTTTGTCATGACTCTACATTGTCCCACTTTAGGGTGTGGGAGCTATGACCTTCCTGCTCCTAGATGCTGGCCTCAGTTAAGTGATGTGCTTTGGGTAACAGAATGTTTACATGTTTGACCCAAGCAGATACATTATATGAGACTGTATGTTATTGTTGCCAAGACTGGAGCTGCCAAACCTTCCTTTGACTCAAAACAGTTGAAGGACACATGCTTATGTTTTATTTTATTTACCCCAGGACCTTTGCACATGTTTATGTTTTCTACCACTTAACTTTTAGGGTTTCTTTTGCCATGCATCATTGTCATGGCAAAAAAGAGCAGATCATGTTAATATGTGTTGTGTCTTTATAAACCTTGTATAAACATTTGAATGATTTTTAGGGAGGAGATCATAAAAGTGTTCTTTAATATACCAAATTTTAAAATGCTGGCCTGTTGAAATCCTTGGCACATTATAGCAGTCCTTTGATACCCATGCCCAATTTCCCCAGCTTTATTTCCTACATAACTTTACTTGTGCTTTCAATTGTGTATTTCAAATATAGCAAATCCAGTACCGCTAACATTTTTTCCATTCTTATTTCTTCATTATGTATTAGAATTCTACTTGTTCCTCAAGAAGTTCAGATATAAACTCATTCAGTACTATTTATCCTTTCTCCTTGCCTTCCTAACAGTCACTTTTTTTTTTCTCTGAAACTCCAAGCATGTTTGGCATTTTGTTTGGAAAAGTTATAATTACACGTTAGTATATTTTTTGGTTTGTTTTAAAGTGAAGAACTTTATCATTAAAATGTTAGTACTTTATATGCCAGAATTCTAAAATCATTTTATTTTCCCCAGACCCTAGAATAGTATGAACCTTTAAAAATTCATAGATAAATGGATATAAGAGTAAATGAATGGATTAATGAATGAACTCACAATTAGCACATTTTTTGCATTAACAAAAATTTTTAATTACAGAAACAAGTGAAAACACTCACTATGATTAAATATACAGAAATAACTCATCTCTAAAATTAAATTTAAAAGTGTTTGCTATTTCTTTCTTGGTTTATCCTTCTGTTTAAATCTTCAAAGTATGTAGTAACTTGTATTTAAAATAATAAATAATGATATTTGGAGACATAGGAAAATAATGAAGAGTTTTTATTTTGTGCTTATCTAGCCAGGCTACAATCAAAGAAGTTTTATTATAGGCTTTAACTAGCATTTTTGTGCGCTTTTGAATTTTCTCTGTAAGTTTCTAATATCTATCTGGCTTCTATAAGACAATGGCTATAACAAATTTCCTTAAACATCTCTAATCAGAATTTTCATTTGTTAGGCTAAAAATAAGGGTGCTCATAAATAACATAATATTGTACTGTTATTTTCTTATGATTCAATATAGTAACTGTTAATACATAAGAAGAGCACTTTGCAGAATAGTTTTGCACTTTTGATCTATTCTGTCTCCATGAAGAATAAAATTTATTTCATTAATAGAGAATTCACTTTAATAGGAAACACAAGAAAATGAAAACATACTGTGCTTAAATCTTCTTATTTAAGAACAAAGTATACATTTTTAATTTCTCATGAGCATGCATGCACTTAATATAAATCTTTTCAAGTGACAATAATAAGCATTACAATTGCTTATATGAAATGAAAATTCATTGTTCAAATATTTTAAATGGTAATTTCTGTAGGAAGATAGACATAAGTAGAAAAGTCAAAATGATTTTGAATTTAGAAGTAGAAAATAAATAATTTGTTTTGTTAACCAAGTTCCTACTTTTATGTATATTCTCAGTATGATTACCTGTGGAGGCTTTGAGACCATGCCAAATTAGGCAATTGATAAAATGACAAATGAGTGATTGAAAGTAATTTTTCAGAAGAAAAAATAAATAAGACGTAATTAAAATGTTATAACTTTCTCATTAAGTGAACATTGCCTGAAACAATCAATAATTTAAAATCTTCAAATACCTTCATATTACCTATCAAAACATTTTTATTAAACAGAAAATATATGTAATAAATATACATAGGTATGTATGTGTGTGTGTGTGTGTGTATACATATTAAATTTGATATTCCAACCAAGGCACCAAGATGCAACAGAAGATGCAAATATAAAAACGAGATGTCAGACCGAAATATAAAGTTATCAAACTATATATCGTTTTACTAATCTTGGACTCCTTATCTAATAATTCTAAATGAGATACATACACAAAACAATTAAAAACATAAAACTGAAATTTCACAAGAATGACCAAAACTAGAAAAAGGAGAAGATTTGTGAGAAAGACTTTTGGAAGAGTCATTGGAGTAAAGAGAATCTCATCTTATTCCTAAAATTAAAGGGGGGGTTAGGTCTTTGTTTCCTCTCTTTAGATGTAGGGAGTAAAGCTTCAGTTCTGGGAGAATTCTCAATTGACACTGTCTTGATGATTTAAAGTGATGAGAAAACATTTTTATTTTCAAAAAATCATCCAGTAAGGCAAGGGACTTGCTGGAAATCAAGATTTTGTCCTGGATTTTGACTTTAATAACCTCTTAATATATTCAATATTTTTAATCAATAAATAGCATAACATTGAACCATGCACATTCATTGTATACAGGCATTTTTGTATTCCTAAGTTTTAATAAGTTTATTTGCATTAATTTTATTTAAATAACATTCAAAATAATTTTATTATATCCAATTTGCTTTAGTAATTTCAAGAATAGGTGAGTTAAAAATGATATAAAACTAAAACATTAATAATTCCTGGGAGACTAACAATAAATCAGACCTTAATTTTAGTACTTTCTTTTTTTCTCAAACTAAAAATATCAAAATTGTAAGAGGTATATCAGTCAGGATCCAGAAGATAAACATCAGGTTAAGATTAACAGACAGTAATCTTAATATCAAAAATTATTAACTGTAAGGGGATTTGCTAGCAAAGAATAAACAGAACTGTAAATAATATAGCAATAGCAGATTATAGGGGCTACTACCCCTAAGGCTGAACTGGTACATAATAGAAGCAAGAGGGTCTGGAACCAGCCTCTACACACCATACAGATCCAGATTCACTGGAGAGGGCATAGCCATGAAAATCTGCATGGCAGGGTTTGCTGAGGCTGCAAAGTACTCAGGAGGATATCAGTGGAAGCCATCCACAGATTGGTATCATACCAGCAGTACTCTGCCATGAAGGCACCTGCTGGGGTTTCAGTCAGCATTCTCTGGATGCCTGGAGCTGGCCCTGCAAAAGCTGTGGATGTGGCTGGAACAGGCTTTGTAGAAATAAGCTGTGTTGTAGGAGCCAATATCAAGAAGCATAACAGAACCTGGGAGAGAAACCCATTCATCCTTCAGTTTTCCCTTAGCAGCTTCTACTAACAAAGCTTAACATTATCCTGACTGGCAAAGAAGGAATGTTTACAGGGTCTAGCCCCACTGTCAGAAGTAAAGCAGTAAGTTGTGAATTTTCAACCGAGAGGCAATAAAGTGATGACTAGGACAGTACATGCCTTGGATTACTCAGTGTCCATATTCACTCTGCTATTCAATCTTGAACTTTTATTCAAAAATGAAACAACTCTGTATTTCCACCTAATAATTTATAAATGTTCTTCCTGAAAGTGAATGTATTTTCATCCTTTTCCAAAATGAGGTGACACAGTCCCAACAGTCATTGTATCCATTACTGGCTATATTAATCCTCTCAAATTCCACCACAGATCTACTAAATGCTCTGTGAACTAAAGACTAAATTGTAAAGTTAACCGTCTGCCACTTGTATATAAAATAAAAACAGGAAGGAGACATAAAAATGGTTAGTTATGCAAATAAAAACATGCATATAACAAGCAAAGAGAAAATAGACAAACTTCTTAGTCTTGAAAGATTTACCGTATGTACTTGTAGCTATGGTGCAGCCGTTCACAAATGGACCCAGTTTCTCCTTCGTTCAGGGGACTCTGTGTCTGTGGATTGATTTAGGAAATAGGTGAGAAGCTGTTTCCATTTATGTCAGGGTTTTAGCTGCATATCTAGAGGTTTTTTTTTTTTTTTTTTTTCCTACTGGGTAGATAAAACAATAACTCTGATAGGCAACTCATGTATTTCATTCCTGGGAACACAGTGTTCAGTAGCCACTGCCAAAGATCTCTACAGGCCAGAGTATTCTGATTACGAGTCATCCCTGCCAGTTAGATATGCTCACTTTGTTCTTGGTGATTGTATGCTATCTTTTGATTTCTGTTACCCCAGAGCCCATTATCCCTGTTGAAATCAGGGAATCCATCCCAATGGCAGAATCCCTTACAGTACCTGGTCTGCAAAGCTGCTCAACTTTCTTCACGAATGAATTTCTTAGTGCCATGCTTTATCACGCTGGACTGGTTTATCTTCACCAGTAGGCTCTGGTATCTCCACCTAGTAAAATGTCTGGACTCTTGGTGTCCAAGTTTCAGTCAATCAACCAAGTAAGTTGTTAGAGTCACCTGCAACTTTACAAGCTAACATATCAAATCTGAAATCTCTAGTTAGTTTCCTATAGCAAGGAATTCAGCCTTATCTAGTGTTATATTCTCTGCTTATTGGCCTAACGCCTGTTGAATCCACTCCCACACATGTCCCACCCCATCATGATTCTATTGGTTATATATTAGCATGGTCTTGCAGTTCTTTTGCCATGTAGTCTTTTTACTGTATAGTGTACACCTGTTCCTCTCGAGCATGCTATACTTCACACGAATTACTTTGGGGCATAAGACCCTAGCAAGGCATCTCCTACAGGTGAGGTTATTACAAGATTTGCAGGCAAAGGAAGGCTAGTCTCTTCAGGCATGGGAGAGCAAGTAACTTCTACTGGTACGGAGGCCTCAGAGTGGCTTGCCCATTCAGGGTTGTCAATTTCATTTGGTTCAAATATATGTCCCCATTCCAAGTGTCCAGATCTCATTCTTTCTCAATTGGTACCCTAAATTTCACATGAGAAATGGTCAATTTCACTGCTGTTGTAATTTACTCAACCCACAAAGTAAATATTGTGCAAATTTAGCAATATCAGTCCTGTGGCTGCACTAAATATTCTTTTATGGTTCTCATGGTAGCTCTCTGGCCCTTAGGCTGTGAATTGAACTGAGAGCTTATTTTTTTTTCTCTGTAAGTGCTCAAGGGCACTCAGAAAAATCTATCCCACACCATGCTCCTTATAAGAATCATTATTGCCATAGGGTCAAGGGCAGAGTCACTTGGGCTCTTAAAGAATTTGCTTCAGTTGGCACTTTGTCACAATATACCACAGGCAATAGTTTGATTAATTAATTGTGATACCACACATGCCCTGGATTCCTAGCATCTCATTTCCCATTAGTAAGAAGCTCAGCACTGCAACAAAGCACAGGAGTAAACCAAAATATACCCCAAATGTCATAATTGGAGGTCTGTCTCCTGGGACCATTTCCAGGGCAGAAATTTCATAGCAATTTGAACTGGAAAAGTTTACCATAAATAATTATTAATTACAGGCCAGGCGCTGTGGCTCACGCCTGCAATCCCAGCACTCTGGGAGGCCGAGGCAGGTAGATCACAAGGTCAGAAGATCAAGACCATCCCGGCCAACAAGGTGAAACCTTGTCTCTACTAAAATACAAAAAATTAGCCTGGCATGGTGGTGTGCGCCTGTAGTCCCAGCTGCTCAGGAGGCTGAGGCAGGGGAACCGCTTGAACCCAGGAGGCGGAGGTTTCAGTGAGCAAAGATCACACCACTGCACTCCAGCCTGGCCACAGAGCAAGACTCCATCTCAAAAAATAAAATAAAATAAAAAATGATTAATTACAACATATGGGATTGAAGTCATGGATAATTTGCTAGTAATAATAAAGACTCTAAAAACATAAGAACAGCATATACAGGGAGCAATTATTACCCCTTGGGCTGAGATAGCATGCTCAAAAAATAATGTTGAAGGAACAGATGAACTAGAAATCTCTCCTTACTCAGGGCAGAGATCTAAACCTCTGGGAAAGGTGCATCCATGGCTCGCTGAATAGCAAAAAGGCCATGGAGGTCATGGGAGTTACTATGTGCTGCTGGTCACCAGCCATGTTAAAAGCACACTTACAGAAGCCATGCACACTGCTGGAGCCAGGTGTTGCAGAAATTGCGTGTACCGCAGGAGCCTGTCTTTGGGAACTCACCAGTACCAGGAAATGAAACCCTTTCTTCCTACAGCGTCCTTTTAGTGCCCTCTACTGACAAAGCTTAACATCTACCAACATTATTACAGAACAATGAAGTGTATATTTGGATTAGAGAGACAATTAATTTGTGGCTCTCACAAAATGCTATGCTAGGATTATGTTTACAGATAATTTTACCAAACAAGTATAAATATGTGCTCTAATATAATGTGAAGAAAGTAGGAGAGTATTTTTGCTAATGGTAAACAAGTGATGATAAATAATGCATATTGAGCCATGCAGGATCAATGTAATGATAATGAAAATAATAATAATAGAAAATATTTGAATAAAAAAGTCTAGGCAATGCATTGGTGGCCCACCAAATATGTCATTTTAATGTATATTTATAAGACATTTATTAGAATAGCTTGATAGATTTTTCTCTGAAGTTACCTGAAGGAAGTTTTCAATAATTATTTCAGCCTCATTCTAATGTCCGTATTAACATAGCTGTATTACTCTTTTGCATTTCAGTAACATTGAGTTCTACACATCAACTGTTTTAATCTTTTAAGAAAATGTTTTATTATGAAACTCTTTTACATACAGTTTTTTAAAAGCAGTATCTGCCGTGCCTTCTCTTTGAACATTGTAAATATAGAGATCTAGCTAATTAACTCGTGCCACACTTAGATGTGTAAAGAAAATGTATCTTTTTCTTGGTTATTTTAGCTTACCTGATTTTTCTTATCATCCCTAACCCCTGGGTAAGGGAAAAATAATAGGGTGCAAATGTTACCATTTGCAATCTTTAATTAAATCTTTTAAGAGTGTTCTTAAAAAAAAAAAAAAAAAAAAAAGAAAGAAAGAAAGAAAGAAAGAAACTTAGTCATTTTAAATAGATTGCTCAATTTTATCACCTCTGCTTCCTTATGGTCTTCTCTTTATGCTATTTAGGTATATGAGCAACACAAGTTAGTTGCATTGGAGAAGGATTAATCTCAGTTCTCATTGGTCACTGTTTTCTGGATTCTTATTGAATCTTACTGCAGTGTTGTCTGGTTTTCTCCTTTTACTACTAAGGTCTTATCTTGGGAATATTTTCGCTTTGTTAGTTTGTTGTTATTTGTATTTTAATGGAACAGTAGCTTCTACCACTGCAGCCTATGTTTGGTCCCACACAGCTCCATCCAAGGTTCTGGCACATGTATAAGTGGTTGCTCTGCTCTTCCAGTGCCACTCCACTAAATCTCTTGTGGTTGGTGTCCATAGTCAGGAGTACAAGAGCATTTTTAAGTCTCATGCAACAATTTCAGATGATTGCAGACTGGGAGTCTGGCCTCAGATTCATCCATACACATCTTTGCTCTCACACCACATTGAATGGTGCCAGACTAAAGCCAGATCTGAAAGTGTCCTAGGATACAACAAAGCAAGTGGCTCAGCAGACTGGGCGTTACCAGGCCCCTGCACATATACTGGAATGTTTCTGAAGTTATCTCTGAAGAGCAAGATGGGAAGGAGATTATTTAGAGCCTTCTCATGTTTTATCACATATTTTGTTTTTCTTCTTCCAGATTTTGGATTTTCACTTTCTCCTTTAGCATTTGCGCATCGTGCCCATGTTAACACGCCTTGCAGTCTAACATCATGGGAATAAGGGTATTCTCTGCTGCTTCAGAGAAAATCTGTGTTTTCTGTCCGCCTTCCATGCTTTGTATTGATTTATTAAATTCCTTAAATTTGTTAAATCCTCTTGTTTTAGACAAAGCTCTGCTTCAATACTAGCTGCTGAATCCATTTTGAGTGTCAACAACTGATCACTAACATTCTTTCTCTGTACATTTCTTCTGTAACAACCCTAAACCTTTCCCAGTCAAATAAATTGACACTCGCAGAATATTAGAATGTTGATAAAAGGAAACATGACAAAGAAAAGTCATTAATATAGTTCAAAACTATTATCCCTCTGACACAGGCTTTTGGATAATCATTCCTATACTCTGCTTTTTTTAAACTTTGATTATTCTCACTGTTGTATCTTCTTTTTCCCATTATTAATAAATCACTAATTTCTAACTCACTTATCTGTTCCATAAGATAAAGCTTGACTTCAAGTAACAAAGCCCACAACAAAAATAATTAACAAAGTTGAAGTTTATTCTTGTTTCAAGTAAAAGTAGGTAGTCTTGAGACGGTGTAATAGCTCAAAAATCACCAGGGATTCAAGCTCCTATCCTGTTGAAGCATCATTCCTAATAACTAATTTCCACCTCACAGTCCAAGAAAAATCACCCTAGCTCTAGTCATCATGTTACATTTCAGTAAACAGGACCTAGGCAAGGGAAGGAGAAAGCATCATCCTTTCATTAAGTGACACTTCTTGGAATTTGAATACCTCACTTTCATTTGCTCCCTTTGGGCAGAACTTAGTTCCATAACATATATGTTTTTAAGGGAGACTGAGCAATACCATCTTTTTCTTTCTCTGAGTGTTCATTTGTTGCTTAGAGGAAATGGATATGGGAAGACAATTAACATTCTGTCATATGCATATTTTATAGATGTGGCCTCAGTGAAAAAAAACAGTTTTTTTTAATTTTACTATCTTGCTTGGAATGTGACATACTTTTCAGTAATAATCTGTGAAATCAAATAATGCTGTTTCAAAGATCTCATAATTACCCTTCTAATTAACATGCTCCAATCAGAAACATCTTTTTTCTCTTCTTTTATTATACTTTAAAGTTCTAGTACATGTCACAATGGTGCAGGTTGTTGCAATATGTATACATGGTCTAGTGTTGGGTGTGCTGCACCCATTAAACTCAATCATTTTACATTTAGTAATATCCCTCTAAGCTATCCTCGCCTCCTCCACCCTCACCCACAATACACCAGTGTGTGAGTGTCCCCCTCCCTGTGACCAATGATCTCATTGTTCCAGCTGTCCCACACCTATGGAGATTGGAACAATGCCGGTGTTTGGTCTTTCTGTTTCTTCGTGATAGCTTTGCCCTGAGAATGATCGGTTTCCAGCCTGGCATCCAATGTCCCTACCCAAGGACCACGAACTCATCCTTTTTACTGGCGCATAGTATTCCATTGTGTATATGTGCCACACCCATTTTCTTTATCCAGTCCTATCATTTGGTGGAACATCTCTGGATTGGTTCCAAGTCCCTTTCCTAATTGTGAATAGGCTGGCCAAAAACACACCCATGTGCATGTGTCTTTAATAGCGAGCATGACTTTATAAACCATTTGGGTAATATACAGTCAATGGATGGCTGGCGTCCAAATGACATTTCCTAGGTTCTAAGATGTTTCAGACATTCGCCACCATTGCCCTTCCCACAATGGTTCTGAAACTAAATTACAGTCCACCAACAGTGGTAAGAAGTGTTCCTATTTTCATCACATCCTCTCCAGCACCTGTTGTTTCCTGGAATCATGATAATGGGATCACCATTCTAAACTGGTTTGCATTTCCTCATGAATGACCAGAGATGAAGAGCATTTCTTTCCAGTGTCCGTTGGCTGTATAAACTGTCTTCTTTCTGAAAAGTGTCCTATGTCATGTCGTTTGCCCACTTTTTGACTGGGATTGTTTGCATTTTTCTCTTGTAAAATTGTTTAAGTTCTTTGTAGATTCAGATATTGTACCCTTGGTCAGATGGGTAGAGCAAAACAATCTGTTTCTTCCCATCCTGTAGGTGCTGTTCACCCTGATGGTAGTTCTTTTGCCTGTGCAGAAGCTCTTTAGTTATTGAGATACCCCATTTGTCAATTGTGCGCTTTCGTTGCCATTCGCTTTAGTGTTTTAAGACATGAAAGTCATTGCTGAGCGATGCCTAATGTCCTGCAATGGTAGTTGCCTAAGGTTTTCTTCTAGGATTTTTATGGTTTAGTCTAGACATCTCTAAGGTCTAATGCAGCTTGAATTAAAATTTTCTGTGCATAAGGTGATACCAAGAAGGGATCCAGGTTTCAGCTTTCTAACATTAATGGCTACGCCAGTTTCCCAGCACCATCTTATTAAAACGGGACATCCTCTTCCCCATTTCTTGTTTTGTCAGGTTGGGTCAAGAAGATCCAGATGGTTGTAGATGTGGGTAATTATTTCTGAGGCCTCTGTTCTGTTTCCATTGGTCAATATCTGTCTGTTTTGGTACCAGTACCATGCTGTTTTGGCTACTGTAGCCTTGTAGCATAGTTTGAAGTCAGTGTAGTTGCGTGATGCCTCCAGCTTTGTTCTTTTTTGTTTAGGATTGTTCTTGGCTAATATGGGCTTCTTGGTTTTGGCTCCAGTGAACTTTAACTAACTTTTTTTCTCAAAACTGTGCGAAGAAGAGTCCCATCGGTACTTG